AAATTATGGTACGTTTTTTGGGTAGATATTTTAAATTTACCTGACTTTATTTATATTTGTAGAATGACATTTTTTTTAATTAATTATTCACTTTATTAGGAAAAATTGAGGGAGAAAAAGGTGGAGTATCATGTTACTCTTCGAGTCAAGGTATTGTTAATGATGATGACATTGAAAACCAAGCTATTAATGACGTTTTGGGTCCTGAAAGATATGGTTGGGTGCGCTGTCAATGATCATTCATTACTCCCACCAAATATTTTGGATCCAGTTCATCACAGTACATGTCATCACAGTCTCGATCTTCCCACCAAGAAGTTTGTCGTTTAAAAGAAAAGTTGGTTGAGATGGATCAATAAATGGCTAACTTGAAAGCGAAAAATGAAGCAAGGGAAGCAGAGAGAGCAGTAGCAGAAGCAACCAGAGCAGCAACGGAAGCAGAGAAAGAAGCAGCGGCAGCACAAAGAGAAGCAGCGGCAGCACAGAGAGAAGCAACGGCAGCACAAAGAGAAGCAACATATCAGCAGAGATGTGAAGAATTTGAAAAATGACTCAATGATATGATGTTGATGATTCAGAAAACGCAACCTCAGAATCCACCATCGTAGTCTTATTTATGTTACAAGCATTCTACTGAACCTTGTTTAACTGAACTTATATTTCGTTAATGAAAACTTTTATTTATTATATTGGATTTGATGTTGTTTGTTATGGATATAGAGTTTGATGTTATTATTGTTTTGTTTGTTGGATAATGGAACAGGTTGAAAAAACAGTTTTGGGGTAATCAAGCATAATTTTTAGGAATGTTAATTCTGTGTTATTTAGCGGCGTTTGTAACAAAAAACGCCGCAATATACCATACATTTAGCGGCGTTTGTATCCTAGAAACGCCGCTATATACAAAACTTTACTGGTGTTTTTAGCAAAAACGCCGCAAAAAATCAATACATATTGCGGCGTTTGTGAGAAAAACGCCGCAAAACATCAAAACCTACTGCGGCGTTTATGGAATAAACACCGCAAAACATCAAAATCTACGGTGGCGTTTGTGGGAAAATGCCGCAAAACATCAACACCTAGTGCGGCGTTTATGGGAAAACGCTGCTAAATATCATTACCTATTGCGGCGTTTGTCACACAAACGCCGCTAAATATCAACACCTATTGCGGCGTTTGTCACACAAACACCGCTAAATATCAATACCTATTGTGGCGTTTTTTGTTTAAAAATGCTGCGAACTTTAGCGGTGCTATTTTTAACGGCGATTTTCGTGGCGTTTGTCTTAACACCGCATGTGTTTTTAGCGGGGCTTATAAACGCCGCTAAAGGTTAAAAAAACGCCGCAAAAAACCTGTTTTGCTGTAGTGTAAGAAAGCAAAATTTATCGAATGCCAAAAATGTCGATTGTTACTCCAAAGAAACAAAAAGATAGGAACAAACACTAGATTACACCCCAATCGAGATAAAACAAAAGGCAAATGAAACATCGTAAACACACGACATAAATCCCCTTCATAAGATAATACAACAAAACTCAAATGCGAAAAACAATCAGGCAATCCCAACCTTAGCCATGCAACAAGACATTAAACTTGTGCTCATTAAGTCTAACAAGTTCAAGCATCACTTCTTATTCGTCTTCATCAATGCTAAAACTAAGCTTCTTAATTAGCTCTCATGCTCGATCACGTTTCTTTCCTTCAGTCGATGATAACGCCATGTTCTGAGACACGGATTCATCTTGATTTGAATTTTGGCTATCAATACAAGGAAGTCCCATATGCCTAATATCTTCTAAGACAACGTTATTGTATGAGCTAGTAATGAATCCATCACAACAATCAATAGCCCCACGCCACAAATATCACCACCACCCAAATGCCTTCTAAGGGTAAAGTATGCAAATGGTCCCTCAATTATAGGGCATTCTTTTGTTTAATCCCTCGATTATTAAAAGTTATAAAATGATTTCTCGATTATAGGGTGATGTTTTGTGTTGAATCCTCCGACTATTAAAAGTTACAAAACAGTTATCTAGCAATTCATACGTTTCAAACTCTTCATTTTTTATTAAAAAATTAGCGGTCGTCTGAGCTGGATGTTAACTTGTTATCTGGGATATGATAAAATCTGATTCAGAACCGTTTGAGCTATATTTTATGCATCGCACGTCCATTTACATTATATTGTCGAGCTAGTGCTTGAAAGAAACAACAATGTTATTTATCATATCTCAATCAATAAGTTAAAGTTCAGTTTAGACTATCGTCAATTATTTAACAGAAATGACGAGTTTAGAACATATGAATAGTCGAATGACTATTTTATAACTTTTAATAGTCGAGGGACTCAACAAATCAGCATTGTATAGTTAAGGAATCATTTTGTAACTTTTAAAAGTTAAAAGATTCAACAAATCAACCGATCGAGGACAATTTGTATACTTTACCCTTAAAACAAATTCAAGGTCGTACGACCCTTCCATTCCCGTTTTCAAAAGAAAAGAAGAAAAATAACACAAACCACCTGATTAAAATTGGGGCCAACCGATTCCCATGCTCAACCAGATTAAAATTGGGGTAACCATGACACTCGAAGATGCACACCGCCAAATGCGCATTTCCAACACAATGATCCACACAAGCTTAAACCTCGGGAGAATGAATCACATTTTGGAATAGTCTTTATGATCAAATTTCCAGATGTAGAACAGATGAGAGAAAAATCTGGGGTCAGTGGTTGTCACCTTATGATCGCTTTTATTCAACCCTTTTCAGGATTTTGTTGTTGGTTTGATTATGGATACAGCAGAAATCTGCAAACTTAGAATCGGTTCACCGTCCCAAAATGTGGAGAACACATGGGATGATGAACTCCAACAACTGGCGCAAACCCTCCCCAAAGAAGAAGCTTGGATCAGTGGGGTCAAATTTTATCTGTATCAAGGCTTTTGGTGCACAGCTCTTGCTCTAAAACCTGTGGTTTCTTTCCAGAAACATTTCCGAGCATTTGATTCCGATGTTATAATCGCCACCTTCCCAAAATGTGGAACCACTTGGCTCAAGGCCTTGACTTTCTCCACTTTGTACCGCAACCAGTTCGCAATGGACCAACATCCCTTGCTCACCTTTACCCCTCACCAACTTGTTCGTTTCTTCGAGTACGATGTTTACTTGGACAACCCTTGTCCCGATCTGGAAAGCATGTGTGTTTATAAGCCAAGGGTTTTTTCCACCCACGTTCCTTATGCTTCTTTGCCCTCTTCCGTTAAAGATTCCCACTGTAAGATTGTTTACATATGTAGGAATCCCATGGATATGTTCATTTCTTTCTGGAATTTCACAGACAAACTCCGAGACGAAAGCAAAGAGTTGCTGTCACTAGATGAAGCTTTTGACAAGTTCTGCAATGGAGTCTGTGCGTTCGGACCCTTTTTTTGATCACGTACTGGGTTATTGGAAGGCAAGCCAAGAAGACCCCAACAGGATATTGTTTTTAAAATACGAAGATATTAAGGAAGACACCGGTTCTCAGCTGAAACGTTTGGCTATGTTCTTAGGGGTTCCATTCACCGAGGATGAAGAGATGCAAGGAGTTGTAGAAGAAATAACCAATATTTGTAGCTTCGAGAGCTTGAAAGATCTGGAAGTGAACAAGAAGGGGTTACATGTTTCTGGGATTTCACACAAGGACTTTTTCAGGAAAGGGAAAGTGGGAGATTGGAGCAACTATCTCACACCATCCATGGTTGAACGTATGGAGAAGCTTGCTCAAGAGAAATTGGAGGACTCGGGTTTAACATTTAATTTGTCCTCCAAAACTTCAAATGCATGATCATGGGCGTCTTTTTTAGCTTCCATATTTGTTACTAGAATCTCTACTAATCCCAATTATTTATTTATTTTAAATGTTTTTGTGATGTTATTTGTGTTAGAGTGATCTTATTATAATAAAATAAATAAATTGCTTTGTATGTTGAATTTATATTTGAAAATAAAGAAAATCAATTTAATACATGTACATCTATTCATAACTCTTAAAATTTATAAGGATTTTTTTAAATTCTTGACCTGAGTGATTAAAGGCAGTGTTGTTCTTCCTTAAACTATGTTATCGATTATTAAGAAAAATTATGAACTGATATTATCTTATAATCACCTAATATTACTAAAAAATTACAATCATTTACTCCAAAGTTATGTCAATAAGATAGGGTGCAGCAAGTTTGTATTATTTAATTACAAATGTTACTAATATTTGAGTAATTTTTTGTTTTCCTCATTAAAGTTACAAAAGAAACATATTGATCATTAACATTATCGGTTTGTAATAAAATGATCACTAACGTTATTGATTTGTAACAAAATGGGCACTCAATCGCCATCCTTGGTAAATTGATGATGTGACAACGTTAACAAAAAATGTAATATTTAGTTTTATCCCTAAACTATTATTAAAATATCAAATAAGTCCTTAAACAATAATTATATACATGACTTACCCCAAAAACTTTCTTATTTTCAATTTTTTCAAATACACACTTCCACTATATTCCTCCACTCCCCGCGTCTCCCACCTCATCAGCTCCCATGTTGGTAATGTTCAAGAGTGTAGAAGCATTCATCCCACGTTAGGAAGGAAAATCCATTTGGAAGGGTATTTAAAGGGTCACCCTTTTTCTCCTTTAATGAATGTGACAAGACAATTCTCTCGCACGCGCATCGTTGTCGTGATTGTGATTGTGGTTGTGGTCATACGTGTCTACAACATGTTCACATCCATTCAACCTTTTTGTAGAAAATTCGAAAGAATTTCTTTTAAATTTGCAATTACTTTTTGTTTGTTTAATGATCAAAGACAGAGCCATACTTTGTATAGGAGGAGTTGTTGTCCTCCCAAATATGTTATCTATTATTTTGGTTAGTGTTGTAGTGATCTATGTAGTTAGGCAGTTAGAATTCTGTTGCAGTTCAGTTATATTGTTATGAGTCCAACTATGATGGTTTGTGATTGTATATAAACTTTGGTTTATGGAATAACAAAGATACACTGGTTTTGAGGTTTTCTTTGTGATGATCTCTTATAAACAGTAGGATAGTGCTCTTTTTTCTTGGCTTCTTTCATCCATTGGTCCTTCCGTTCTTCCTTCTTTGGTTAACCGTAAGACTGCTTCGGATATATGGGAAAAGATTCATCACCTTTTTTCAGTTTCTTCTACTACGAAGATCATGCACTTCCATTGTTCGTTGAAGACCCTTAACAAGCATAATCAAAGTATACCAGAGTATCTTGCTCAGATTCATGTGATCTACAACAGTTTCGTTGCGTGCGATAATCCTCTTACTGCAACCATGCACATTTCTGCCATTCTTTTTGGGCTGCCACTGGAGTTTGAACCGATGGTGACTATCATCACCTCAAGTTAGTAACCTTATAATCTTGATGGGGTCTGCAACGTGCTTCTTGGTATTGAAACAAGGCAACAAAAATTCTTTGGTCAGAGTGTTTCGGTTAATATGGTTCAAGGCTCTACTCATAATTGGTCCTCTCTTAGGAAAAGCCCACTAGATAATCCGTCTGGGTTTTTTCAATTAGGGAAAGATGGTCAAAATCAGTTTTCTGGACAAAATTATTACCCTAATTACTCTATGGCTGGGTCGAGTGGTATGTATGGAGTTAGATCGACGTACTCTTCTCACCGGTCATCTCAAGATCAAGGGTTTTCTCAGTAAGGGTCGACTCAAGGTAATTCCTCTGGGTTTCCACCTCCTGTCTATCAAGCTAATCGTGGTGGACGAGATTATGGTCGACCTCGAGTTCAATGCCAGATCTGTGGTAAGCTGGGTCATTTGGCGAACAAATGTTATTTTAGGTTCGATCAATCGTTTGAAGGGGGTCATATGCCTCGACAAACTATCGTGTTACTGATGAGTTGTTCGGGGAGCCAGTGACTCAACATGATTCTATTCATGGGGATTTGGAGACTCATGATGTCAACACAGTCATTGTTGCTGATGGGTTTGGTACCATTGGATATGAAGATACTACTTGGTACCTAGACTCCGGTGCTACTACTCCCCTCACTCCCGACGCAGGTATGGTTCTTGATTCTGCCCCTTATATTGGTCCAGGTAAAGTATCTGTTACTAATGGAAAAAATATTCCAATTTCTAAGATTGGTCAAGCAATCTTACCTTCTCAGTCAAGATCTTTGGTGTAATACCCCAAATCCCAAGTCAGTAATTTCAGTCAACCCGAAACTCGTTAGTTGAGCCCATTAGATTTTTCCAAGCCAGTTTAGATCAGTTCTTAAGAGAATTGGGCCTTAGTTTGGTCCAAGATTTAAGTTAAGTGATAGTTTTAAGTTAGGGGAAAAGAGAGGGACCAAATTAGCAATTTATCCATAGCCTGTTTTAAAGGATAAAAGCCCCTTATTATCTAGAAATCAAACCCCCAAACATATTCATTTTCTCCTCTTTCTTCCTTTTTTTCCCCAAAAGTAAGATAAAGGTATAAGCTTTATGGAATCTTAAGTTTAGCATTCAGTCAACCAAGGTAAGAGCCTTAATTATCATCCTTCAAGCTTTAGTTTAAGCCCTAAATATTTAGTTTTGAATATGTTTTTTAAAATTGGTTTTATGAGGTTTAAGGGGTTCAAGGAAATCCAAGTTTGTTTTAGTAAAAATTAGGTTGTTAGATTGTTTTTAACCTCATTCCCAAGCCCTAAACAAATTAGTAATCTCCTTATCCTATTTTGGTTAGCTAAGGAGAAAGTGAATCTTAGTTGATTCAAGAGGAGTTCCAGCATTCAAGAAAGTTAGGCAACACACTCCCAGCTTTCTTATACAAGTTGTAGATCATTAGAAATATGTTTAAGCTAAAAGTGAGTTTGAAGCATGTTTAGTATATTTCTATGGTAGATTTGAGGTGTGATGTAATTAGCATGTTTTAAAGCCATGTTTATGACCCTTAATATCTCATAAGACTTAATAATAATTTAGGGAACCTTAATGTAGGGATTTTGGGGAGTTAGATTGGGATTTTCTAGTCCAAATAGGGCATTTTTAGCAGGGGTATCGGTATTGTATGAGTCAGTACCGATATTGTTCTTCAGCAGGGCAAGAACATACTAAAGTATCAAGGGCAGTATCGATACCCATGGGGTTGTATCGATACCAGTATCGATACAGAGACTATATTTCAAATTTCATATTTCTATTTTGGTATTGATACTCTAGTTAGTATTGATTTTATAGCATGAGAGTATCGATATTAGTATGGGAGTATCGATATTACCCTTCAGTTTTTAGTGCAGTCTTGCCTTTAGTATTGATACTCTAGAGTCAATATCGATACCAATAAGTTTGGTATCAATACCAACAGTCATGTTTGAGGGCTTTAATTTTAATGGAGTTAAGATGAGATAAGGTTTCCCAAAAGCTTATATTTACTTTCAAATAAGACTACAAGTGAAAATAATATTAATTGCAATTCAAACGTAGAAACTAGAATAAAGTAGGATTAAATAAAACTAGCCTTGTTTGAATGCTCGGGAAACGACCAGGACACCTGAGTTTCTTTAGAAGCTAGTAGAGTCGAAAGTATAGATGAAGTCTGGATATATGCTTAGGGAGTGTGCAAAGCACTTTAAGCTGACTAACTAAGGTCGAGGCCAGACACTCGCAAGGGGTGGGTTAGTCGAGGGTATGGTGTCTAATGTAGAAATTCTAGGGGCCATATCCTCGGTAGACTAGAGGGTTGTATGAGCTCCGAGATACAGCCCCTAAGCCATATCGTGATGTCTACCATATAGTAGAGAGTGAGAATACAAGTATACTCACTAAAGAACAACAAATCAATAGACTTGATAGCTTAAGCCTTTCAGTGATATACAATTAGTGTGATTTAACTGTTAGTGTGGCGTTGAGCTAATTAGTTCAGCCTTCGGATGTTTTCATGGGTAGGTTAGTAGATCCAGAATAGAGGAGTAGAAATAGTGATCGAGGTCCAGACCAGTGCAGATCAGAGTACGTCTCAGCATTTTTAAAGGGCATATATATTTGTAAACAATGTTGTCTAGTTGAGTCATAGATTCAATTTATGTAGGTCTGTATTATTTTTGAATTGTAACTATTTTATTTTGGAGCTCATCAGTGCAAATATTTTATTATGTTTTAGTTTCTTTCAATGGTTGTTTTAAAGTTAAAGAAAGTGAGAAAAAGTTGGTCAGCCACTTCGATGGTTTTGTGTAGCACTCTGATCAGGTCGATTGTATCTCGTATTAGTCTAGGGAGTTACTTTTAGTGGTATCAGAGCAAATGTTTAGGCATTTCTAGGATCGGCGGGTTAGTTTCGGTTAGTGATGTTCAATGTCAGTAAAGAGTTTATGAATATACATGCCCCTAAAGAGTTATGTCGTACTTCTATATTTGTAATACTAGTAGTAATTCCTTAATTTCCTCTAAATTTTAGATTTTAAATATGGATAGAAGACCAAATCGCAGTAGAGAAGGTAGAGATGAGAATAGAGCTTCCCTAGCCGGGGATTCAGGAGATAAGTTTGTTCCAGACTTTAAGCATGGAGAGCCTGGAGACGCAGGAGTTGATGAGGATGCATTCTTTAGAGATGAGAATAGAGCTTCCCTAGCCGGGGATTCAGGAGATAAGTTTGTTCCAGACTTTAAGCATGGAGAGCCTGGAGACGCAGGAGTTGATGAGGATGCATTCTTTAGAAATTTGACCTCCACCTTAGAGCATATAATGATAGATATTCCTCAGATGTTGATGCAGGGGGATCCGAGACAGATGATGCTGAGCTGTCAGATTGCACGTTGATGGCGCTGAGATACCATGAGTTGGCAGATCAGCGCAAAGGCGGGAATTGATTGTGACATGTTCCATTGGGGTCGTTTTGAGTATGTTTCAGTCTTTTGGCCATAACTTTGGCTACAGGTGTCAGAATCGCGCATAAGACCCCAATCCGGAAAGCTCTTTTCGACGCGCACGCTCTCCACATTGAGCTATCTTTATCCATGTGGCCTTTTTTTCAACCTCAAATCCTGCCGTTTTCCCCTCCGAATCACTAGATTTAGTTATTTTTTACTATTTATGGTAATATTTCGATTGTTAATTAGGAAGTCAATTTAATCCGATTTAGGCCGAATTTTTGGGAGATTGCTTATTTTATTTCGAATTTAGAGTGATTTTCGGGATTTTGCTATTTTGGCAAAATTCAAATAAAGACGATTTTTTGCTATAACAGTCCGCTTGTGGACTGCTTTTTGGATGTTTTTGATTTTAAATATTTTATTAAACCCTAGAGACTTTTTTCTCTGGTTTTTGAGCGAATTTTCTCTTGTGAATCGTCTGTCGGAGCTAGCCTACAGGATAATCACTATTCTGTCTGGCGTCAGATGTCTGCTACCCCCCATCACTCCAGCCAGTTCCTCCAGAAGTAACGCCTTAGGAAACCCCAGTAGAGAGGCTCCGGAGGTACCGGACCACCGAGTTCTTTGGGTCAGGTAATGATGATCATGTCGTGGCGACCAGTGGTTAAGAGAAACCCTTATGACTCTTCGTCAGTTGCATCTCACTTCTGAGGGAATTTTGGAGTGTGTCATATCTCTACTGAAAAGTGATGTGATAGACTAGTGGGAGACATGTTGTTAGAGCCCAAGCGACCCACTTGGAACTGATTTTTAGAGGAGTTACATCAGAAGTATGTCGGAGAGGCCCATATTGATGCGATGAGGGATTATTTCCATTAGTTGACTCAAGGGAACAGAACAATGTTCGAGTATAAAGTAGAGTTTCTCCGACTGAGTAGATATACGCCAGAGCTAGTTCCGTCTGAGTATCACCACCGCAGAAAGTTCAAAGAAGGTCTTCGTCTAGATATCTTGACTCACCTAGTTGCAAATCCATCATGAGTCTTTGTCGAGTTAGTTCGGTAAGTAAAAGAAGTAGAGAGAGTTGTGGCAAGGAGAGTAACGGAAAAAGGTGCCACTTCAGGTCAGGGTAAGGAGGTGGCCGAGTCAGCAACACCAGCCCAGCCATCCAAGAGATCGACTACAAAATTGAGTTGGACATAAACCTTCTGACTAAGATATGATAAAATATGATCAAAGGATCTCAAACGACTATCATATCTCAGTCAGCTAGTTAACACCCAACTCAAATTGCCATCAACTTTTAACGGAAAAGAACGAGTTTGGAACATATGGATAGCTGGGGACTCAATAAAGCAATTCCATATAGTCGGGAGATCATTTTGCAATTTTTAATAGCCGGTGGACACAACATAGAAAAATCCTATGGTCAGAGGATCATTTGTGTGCTTTACCCTAAAAAAGTTTGTATATATTTTCCTGAGCTTGTTGATCAGTATAAGAGATTGAGAAGCATCCATGGACGGCAAGTACATTTTTGAATAAAAGTCTTTTCGGTCAACTCTGTTGTAAAAGTCTTCTAAGCCTTTGTTTCCATTCACTAATTTCCTCAAAATTCACTGTAACTATGATAAGGCAATCAATCCTTTTCAACATTGACTTTTGCATTGTTATACTAAAAATGACTTAGTTTCCACGACAATGACTTAATAAGAGACTCTTTTTTCTACGGTATGCAAAGACTGTTTTTAACATTCACAATCACATTCACATGCTTTTGAATAATTTGCAAAACAAAATATAAATTAAAAGGGTAGGTTACATACGACAGGAAGTAGAAAAGAATCATTCAATCGAGAAATATGGGTCCAACATGAAGTTATGTCTTGCATTTTGTGCCCTGTATTGTGGTTGGTGTCTGATAATTGTCCGTATTTCTTATTTAAATTATGACTCAAGGCGTGCCCTGCCTAATTCCATATTATTTAAAGACATTGAACTGACCATAGAAGACTAAACTCAGCTGTTTCTCTCTTCATGATCACACCCAACCTTATGGCAAAATCTCCCTTCCTCCCTCCTCTTATGTTTCTTCTGCTGTTTGTAACCTTTACTGCTACTTTATCTTCCAACATCACCACTGATGCATCCGCCCTTTTAGCCTTAAAGTTTCACATAACTCATGATCCTCACAACTTCATAGCAACCAATTGGTCCACTTCTATCTCTGTTTGTAATTGGATTGGTGTCAGTTGTGGATCCAGACACCACAGAGTCACTGCTCTGAATTTATCATTTATGGATCTCACAGGCACCATCCCATCTCAACTGGGAAATTTATCTTTCCTTACCTCCCTCAACATTCGTAGCAATAGTTTCCATGGCTCTTTACCTGTTGAGTTAAGCAATTTGCATCGGCTGAAATTTTTTCACTTTGGTAACAACAGCTTCAGTGGAGAAACCCGTCATGGTTTGGCTACTTTGCTCAACTTCAAGGCTTGTGGTTGTACATGAACAATTTCACTGGTGTTATCCCATCTACTCTGGGTAATTTGTCAAAGCTAGAAAAGTTGAACTTGTTCGAAAACAATCTTAAAGGTCAGATTCCTATAACGATTGAAAATCTTTTAAATTTGATATGCTTATATTTGCAAGATAATTTGATTCGGCGTTACATATATTTCTTGTTAGTAAATTAAAATCGATTTTACAACCAACAATCTCATTGCAGGCCATATACCATCAGGAATATTTGACAATCTTTCTAAGTTACAAGTACTCGATTTAGATGGGAATCAAATAAGCGGTAGAATTTCAAAGAACTTGTTCAAGTGCAAAGAGTTGACATTCTTATCATTGTATAGCAACTCTTTGGAGGGAAGTATTCCTATAGAAATCGGAAATTTGACTAAGCTCCAGGTTTTGTATCTTGATCACAACAAACTCCAAGGTAAACAATTTCTCAACTTTATCTCATTTTCTTTTTTATTTTTTGACTTTTATGAACAATTGTTTAAGTATTGAAGCATTACTTACATATTACACTGTCAATCTTGTGGTTCGAATCTTCGATGGGTGAATTCTTACTCTTAATTAGACTAAATAACATGTTTTAAATCAGTGGCGGATCCATAAATTTAAGAATGAGAGTCCAGAAATATTAACTTTTTTCATTTTTCTCCTTAAAATATTAAGCTATTGGCCCTATGTGGACTTAGTGCATCCGCCACTGTTTTAAACAATAAAGTGATTAATAATTTTAATCTCTTAATGTGATAATGCTTTTAGCTCTGAAGAATATAAATGAATTTTAATGAATCTATTTGTATGTTTCAGGTGAAATTCCAGCTGTTATCGGAAATCTTATTTTTATTGAGGAGATTAGCCTTTCTTCAAACAACTTTAAAGGTATTGTACAATTCTTTATTTTGCTCAACAGAAAGAAGTTTTAATCATTAATAATGAAAAGCAAACCTGCCAATAAAGAATTCAATAAGGAAATGGTTTCCCATTACAAATCTTTGGTTCCATTAACAGCACCTTTAGATCTTATTTTTCTTCCTACACTTAATGTAGTGTTAGGGTTCAGGGTTCATGTTGATTTGTTGGTTAAGGGGTTAATCGGCGTTCTGGGTGGCTACATTTATTCTTCGAATAGTTGTTTGGCTGGTTTCAAAGTCTGTACTGCTAGTATTGGTTTGGTCTGTGTTTCGTTTATGTGATTTCCATCTCTCGACACTTTCACAGTGCACTCTTTTTCCTCCATTTAGGATTAGAGAGGTTTTTTAACGAGGTTCATGTTAGTATATTATTTTGTACGTATCCCTTCAAATACAATACAAAACACCCCTTCTAAAAAATATAATAATACTTTTGGTTACGAAAAAACAAACTCGTTGCGCATCGAATACTTTTAACTATTAGGACATGATACAGATTTAATTATATGTTACAGGTGAAATTCCATCGATTATCGGAAATATGACTTCTCTTACAGTCATAGATCTTTCGTATAACAACTTCTCAGGTGAGATTCCATCGGTTATCAGAAATCTTGTTTTTGTTGAGAAGATTAGCCTTTCTTCAAACGTAAAAGGTATTATACAATTCTTTCTTTTGCTCAACGGAAAGAAGTTTTAATAAGAAAATGGTTTCCCATTACAAATCTTTTGTTCCATTAACAGCTCCTTTAGAGGTTATTTTTATACTTACATTCAATATAGTAATACTTTTGGCTATGAGAAAAGAAAATTAGTTGCACATTGGATACTTCTAACTATTGGGACGTGATGCAAATTTATTTATATGTTTCAGGTGAAATTCCATCGGCTATTGGAAATCTGACTTCTCTTGCGTACATAGATTTTTCGAATAACTTCTTCTCAGGTAAAGTTGTGCTTAAATCGAATACTTAGGACTATTTGGAACTCTCACAAATAGTAAAAGAAATGAATTGATGCAAATCTTCAACATTTATTGCATGTGGGAATTTCATCATAGTTTAAGGCCTAAGTTGACCTTATCTATTGCAGGTTCTATTCCATACTCAATCTTCAACATTTCCTCTTTGCAACGAATTGTATTGTCAAACAACAGTCTCTTTGGTTCTCTCTCTTCCAATATGTTTGATTACATTCCTCGATTACTTTATCTTGATTTGAGTGGATGTCACCTTTATGGAAGAATTCCGATGAGTTTGTTCAAGTACAAAGAATTAAGAACATTGTATTTGGCTGATAATCATTTAGAGGGGATTGTGCCAATAGAAATCTCAAATTTAACTTCGCTCAAGTATTTCGGCATCGAAGGAAATAATTTATCAGGTAAGCTACACTTCAACACATAACATAATTATACTACCATATTATTTCGATAAATTTATTGATATATTTCAGGTGAAATTCCCTCAACTGTCGGAAACGTGACTTCTCTTGAGCAACTTGTTCTTTCTGATAACAATTTTACAGGTATAATATTATTTTTTCTTCTTTTTGTTGCTACTTTGTTTCAAGCAACTAATTCTAACTTAATTTTAAATTTTCTCCAAGGGAAAATTCCTTCCTCAATATGCAATTTGAGTTCCCTTACGGCTCTCTTTTTATTCAAGAATAGTTTGTATGGAACAATTCCGGAGTGTATTGGAAACTTAAGTTACTCTCTTACACAAATTGAGCTACAGTGGAATAATTTTCATGGTAAAATACCAAAAAATTTTGCTGACAACTGCAAGCTACAAGCGTTACGGATAGACAACAACCAAGTAGAAGGGTCGCTACCACGATCTTTGAGTAATTGTAAAGATTTGAAGCTTCTCGATGTTGGAAACAACTATTTAAATGGCACTTTCCCAGACTGGTTAGGAAATTTGGAACAGCTACAGATTCTTATCTTGAGATCGAACAGATTCTATGGTCAAGTGGATTGCTCAGGAGTTGCAGTTTCCTTCACTCGTTTGCATGTCATTGACCTTTCTAATAATAACTTAAGTGGCTTCTTACCGATGATTTTTTTTGAAAATCTGCATGCCATTAGAGAAGGGTATGAAAAGAAGGTTAAAGCAGAATACATGGCATATCCATCAGTTGATGGACTGGTGTATTATGCGCAAGATATATCTTTTGCAACAAAAGGGTTTGAAACAGAGTTCGAGAAACTGTTAACAATTTGGATGGCGATAGACTTCTCCAACAACCAATTCATGGGAGAAATTCCTAAAACAATTGGTGAGCTTCATTCACTAATTGTTCTAAACCTCTCTCATAATTGTCTAACAGGTCATATCCCATCATCATTTGGTCATTTGTCAGAACTTGAATCATTAGATCTCTCATCAAACAAGATCCATGGAAGAATTCCAGCAGAGTTGATAAATCTTGGGTTCTTAGCAGTCTTGAACCTTTCCCGGAATAATCTCGAGGGACCCATTCCTCATGGCAAACAGTTTGATACTTTCACTAATAATTCGTACATAGGAAACTTGGGTTTATGCGGGCTGCCATTATCAAAAAGCTGTGATGACGATGAGGGAACTCCCACCGAATTTGGTAGAGGTGATAATGATGATGATGGAGTGAATTGGAAATTTTCAATATTGATGGGGTATGGATGTGGGGTGGTGCTGGGACTCAGTACGGGATACATTGTATTCTCAACTGGAAGTGTCGAAACGATTTTTTCCTTAAAAGGTGAAAAACGGTGAGATTTTAAAAACCACATTAATTTTTAATTATCTCTTTTTAATTTAAAAACAAATGCGATTTAAAAGACCTCTCGTTTCGAAAATTTTTAGATTTCCTTTACAATCGAAAAAATACAATTCAAAGAGTCGCCACCAATCTTTGATTAGGGTGTGATTGGGAACCCAAAAATGATGTCATTTTAAATAAAAATTAATTTTAATTAAAACAACAAATTGAGGTCTGCGTTACCAAAATCCGAGTTCGGGAGTCGGTTACGTGTAGGGAAGAATTAGCACCCCCACAACGCCCCAAATCGGTACCTAGTCGATTAATTAACGTCTTTGCAATGAACTTTACAAATTCGAATTTATTTTAATTTTTGATCCCATAAATAAAAATGTAATTAAAACTTCAAAACACTCAAACAATTAAATTAAATTACCAAGTCATTTTAGAAAGATAAAGAATGTTCGATTATTTACAAATATTGAGACCAGATCTTAAAGATATAACCTTTTCTCTCGATATTTTAAATAACAAACATTTCTTTTTCTCTCGTTCCCAATTTTAGGTGACGAATCAATTTTTTTTTGTTTCACTTTCGGGATACACTTTTAATCTAAAATCATTAAAAGCGGACCTCAAATCAGTTATGACTGCCCACTTCAACAATCTTAAATTAAAAGGATATTGCCCTTAGTTAAATTATGTAATAATGTCCAGTTATGCACATGAGGATATCATGCATATTATGCAAAATAATGTCATGCAAAAACTAATTAAAATATGACATGCACTCAAATAAACTTCTAAATCTATATAAAAAAAAATCATATGTATTTACGACATTAACATACATTAGAATAAGACAATATATACAATAAAACATGCTATTAATAACTCGATTTCACATTCAAAATTACCATGAAGGACCATAATAAAATAAAATTAAACTAAGCATGCGAAGTAGGAATAAACAACTAATTTAAAAACAAATCTAAGAGTGGACTATGTTAAAATAAATTTAAATTTAAAGAATTAATTAAAAAAAAATCTAAATTATGACTAAATTAAATCTATGGACGAAAATAAAAATATTAACATAATTACATACCAACGTAAAATACAAGATATTAACTTGATAATAATGGGGTCAAAATAGAAACTTTTTAAAGTAATGAGCCAGAATCACAATCATTGCAAAATTCAATTAAACACACAATGGACTAAAATGAAAAGCTCATAATATGAAGACCAAATTAGAATGTGCAAAAGATTTGTTCAAGGACCAAAATGAAAGACACATGAAATATAAAGAAACAAATAGAAGCCTGAAAGAAAATTTAATCTGGGGACCAAATTGCATCAACCCGAGAACTCTAATGACTTGTATCATAGATATACCATGCAAACCGGCCACCCAAAACGCTGCCGTTTTGGCAGTGTTATACCTAAGTAAAAATCAAACCCTAACCTCATTTCTCCTTCCCTAGCTTCAGTCGCTTCTTTCTCACTCTCAATGTCTCTTCCTTCATCTTCTCAAACAGAGAGTTATACAACTCTCTATGCCGACCACTGTAAAACAGGGACCCTCTCTCCCGTTTCAAGACCCATCGACTGAAGCTTGGCCATCAATCTCCAATGGCCTTTTCACTCTAAACCTATGCTAACTCCTACAGAAAACACCTAAGCTAACCCTCACAACCATGATTCTCTGTTCCTCTTCCCTCTCACTTTTTTTCACCCAAGGCCCTTACTTTCAACAGCGATTGGACCCCATACAACAATAAGATGGAGTCGTTGAGATTCTATCGACGTTCGCACTACCCAGGTAAATCAACCCCAAATCCTTTTCTTTATCTCTGGTTTTGTGTTTATATGGAAATTACTAAAACGAAGGAAGAAAAATGAAACTGCAAATGATAAATGGAGAGAAAAAAACCTTTGCAAGAATTCGATTTCCTTTGCACTGCTTTCTCGGTTTCTTATACAATGGTAGAGTTGCACTTTATTTCCCTCTTTTACATTGATTTTTCTCTGTAAATTCAAATGAAAGATCGACACCGCTTCTCTCTGTTACAACGAAAAAGCCCTCTGTCTCTCTTTTTTTTGTGTTTTCTTTTGCTAGTCAATGGCTTCTCCTGATTCTCCTGCTCGAAAATGGTTCTTGATGATCCCTGAATTGTTGTTCTCCCCCTCGTTTCTGGTCGTTTTCCTCCTTTCTTTCTGTTTTTTTTTTTCTGTTGTTGTGGAATGCTTCTTAGTTTTCCCCTGTTTTTTTTTTCTGTCCCTCTTTCTTCTCTTTTTTCCCTTTTGTGTCTACGTGAACTCTCCCATTTCTGATGGTTTCCAGTAGTTAAAAAAAACTGACCTCCCCTCCACGTTTTTTTGGTTTTCAACTCCCAAAAACTACTTTCATTTGCCCATGATATAGGCCCAGACAAATTAAGCATCTACAGCTGCCCCTCTTTGCTCATTGTCGTGTAACGAGAATAGAGCAAAGATCAAAAGATGACCGAATTTGTCTGGTCTTGAGAATGTTACGTCAGGATAAATACTTGAAAAATCTTCAAATGACGAGCCTGCTCCCTATTCCTTCAGGAAGTAAGACTCGAACAATCTTCATAAACGTGCTCTCTATTCATTCAGAGAGTATAAGACTTGAACAATCTTTAATAAAACGGGTCCGCTCTCTATTCCTTCAGAGAGTATAGAACTCGAAAAATCTTCAATAAACAGGTCCGCTCCCTATTCTTTCAGGGAGTATAGGACTCAATCTTCAACGAACTAGTCCGCTCCCTATTCCTTCAGAGAGTATAGGACTCGATCTTCAACGAACTTGTCCGCTCCCTATTCATTCAGAGAGTATAGGACTCAATCTTCAACGAATTTGTCCGCTCCCTATTCATTCAGAGAGTATAAGACTCAACTTCAACGAACTTGTCCGCTCCCTATTCATTCAGAGTATAGGACTCAATTTTCAACGAACTTGTCCGCTCCCTATTCCTTCAGAGAGTATAGGACTCAATCTTCAACGAACTTGTCCGCTCCCTATTCCTTCAGAGAGTATAGGACTCAATCTTCAACGAACTTGTCCGTCCCTATTCCTTCAAGAGTATAGGACTCAATCTTCAACGAACTTGTCCGCTCCCTATTCCTTCAGAGAGTATAGGACTCATCTTCAACAAACTTGTCCGCTCCCTATTCTTTCAGAGAGTATAGGACTCAATCTTCAACAAACGAATTTGCTTCACTACTCTCGTGAAGGCTTATAGATGATTTGCTTCAAAGGTCAAACCTGAAAATCAAACATTATTCATGAATGTATATTTGAAAATATTATATTCAAAATTTAGAATAAAACTTCTGAAAATCCATCTCCATCTCAAAACTTGTCTGGAAACCATTGGATATGTGAATCTGCTTCAGCTCAGTTTTGGTATAAACATCATTCTTTTCAAAATCTCCAAACCAAACATCTTCATCCCGATGCTTCAATATCTTCAATCTTCAACTATCATTGGGAAACCTGCAAAATGCTTAAGTCATCATGCAATTATGAATGCCATGATCCTACTCATGCCTAAAATGTATGCAATTATGCAATTCAATGCGTTTTCTTCTTTGAATGAACTCTATCTCCTTTTAATCTCGATGGAACTCGGCTTCATCTTGGGCACAGAACGTTTGACCAGTTCACCCCAGTTGACAATCTCAATTCCATATCTCGGCTTAACATGACCTTGACTCCTTTCTTTCTTGAAACCCGCCAATATCCATGACCAACTTCTTGATTAATGGTAATCTCATTGGGTCATCTTTTAATGGCTGAGATTTTCTTTGAATTTGAGGATTTTAGTTTCCCATGGCCACACAAGCTTACATGTTAAAACCATCATCAGCTTCAATATACCTGCATTTCCAAAACCTTTTGCAATAATACAAAATGATCTCATGTACTTCAAGTTAAGCTATATGTTTTAACCTTTCCAAAATAAGATGTTTGCAAAAGGGAAATTATCAAGAAAAATCTCTTTATTTGTATAAAATACAGAGAATTTTAGGCAACTAAATGGCAACTTTTAACTGGAAACAGTAAAAGAACAAAAGAGTAGGCGTCTTCAAATATCAATATGCAAATGCTTTTGAACTGGCACGCCGTTAGAATATCTCGAGTGTAGCTTCTGCAGAAGGATCTCCAAAATTGTGGTGCTTAAGAGTATGAAGCTACTTCTAAACTCCCCAAATCTCTATCATTGCCCCTAAACCAGTATTGAATCTCATATGCATTCAATTTCTCTTCTGGTTTTTCATCGAGACTCATTAATCTTTAGTCTCATCCTTGATCACCAACTTTCATTGTTACTATCCATATTAGGAGCTCTTTCCACTTCCAAATTGATTCAGAAACTCCACCATGCGCGAATTCTGAATTTCAATTCAACTCAAGTCGCCCTTTGCGGGTTTCAACTTGAGACCTCCTTTGGTTCCAAGACCCCTTTTCGGGTTTTCGTCTTGAACCCTCCTTTTTTCTCTTTTTTTCATTTTTCTCTTTTTATTTTTTTCCATTTTTCTCTTCTTTTTATTTTTTTTTTCTTTTTTTTCGTTTTTTTTTCGTTTTTTCCATCATCATTTTTCTTTTTTCTTCTTTTCTCTTTTATTTCTTCTTTAAGCAAAATATCTCTTAACAGCGGAATTCACTGGATATGGTAATTCTGATCCGTCCATTTCATTAGGACTAGAGCTCCCCCAGAAAAGGCCTTCCTGACATAAGGTCCTTCCCAATTGGGCATCCATTTTCCTCTGAAATCTTTCTGAATAGGCAAATCCTTTTAAGCCCAAATCTCCCTCATGGAATTCTCGAAGGCGAACTTTCTTACCATGTGCCCGTATCATACGTTTTTGGTACATCTGACCATGATAAATAGCTTTCAATCTCTTTTCTTCAATCAAATTCAACTGGTCATACCTAGCTTGGACCCATTCTGCCTCATCAAGCTTTACCTCTGACAAAATCCGAAGTGAGGGAATTTCCACCTCAATAGGTAAGACAGCCTCCATCCCATATACCAGAAAACGGAGTTGCTCCAGTTGAAGTCCGTACTGAAGTTCGATAAGCAAACAGAGCAAAGGGCAACTTCTCATGCCAATCCTTATAGGTCTCAGTCATTTTCTCTATGAGCCTTTTGATGTTCTTATTGGCCGCCTCTACTGCCCCATTCATCTTTGGGTGATAAGTAGTGGAATTATGATGCTTTATTTTGAACTGTTTACAGACCGAGTCCATCATCTTATTATTTAAATTCAACGCATTATCGGAGATAATCCTCTCTGGTAAACCATATCTACAAATGATCTCCTTCTTCAAAAATTTGCATATTGTAGACTGGGTAACATTTGCGTAAGAAGCTGCTTCTACCCACTTGGTGAAATAATCTATGGCTACCAGAATAAAGCGATGACCATTTGAAGCTTTGGGCGAAATTTGTCCAATAACATCCATGCCCCACATTGAGAATGGCCACGGAGCTGTCATTACATGCAACGGATGAGGAGGAGTATGTATCCTATCTCCATAAATCTGACACTTATGACATTTTCGGGCATAATTGATACAGTATGTTTCCATAGTTGACCAATAATACCCAAATCTCATAATCTGCCTAGCCATAACATGCCCATTAGCATGGGTACCACATATTCCCTCATGCACTTCTTCAAGAATCAATTTGGCTTCTTTCGCGTCCACACATCTTAACAAAACCTGATCCAGGCTTTTCTTGTATAGAGTCTCACCATCAAGCACATACCCTGATGCCATTCTTCTAATGGTTCTCTTATCATTCTCAGTAGCCTGTTCTGGATAACTCTGATACCTTATATATTGCAAGATATCATAATACCAGGGGTTTCCATCTTCTTCCTCTTCGATATTAAAACAATGGGTTGGATACTCATAAGCCTTCATTTCAATGGGCATCATATTTGAATGCTCGTTCATCTTAAACGCTGCTGCCAGTGTGGCTAAGGTATCTGCCATTTGATTCTCTTCTCTGGGGAAGTAATGAAAGTTACTTCTTCAAATTCTTCAACAAGTTCCATAACCAACTTACGGTATTCTACAAGCTTGGGATCTTTTGTCTCCCATTCTCCTCTGAGCTGGTATATTACCAAAGCTGAATCTCCATACACCTTGAGCATTTTTACTTTGCGATCAACAGCAGCTCTAACCCAAGCTTCATACCGCCATTTGTTAGTACAATCAAAATTAAGCCGACTGGAAAGGATAATGTCTCCCTCTGGTGAGACCAAAATTGCCCCGATTCCATGTCCCAAGGCATTTGAGGCACCATCAAAGTTCAACTTCCAATATTTGCTAGTGGATGCCACTGCTTCTTCTACCGAAATAGCCATTAAATCTTCATCTGGGAAATCAAAGCTCAACGACTCATATTCTTCCGAAGCCCTGCTTGCAATGAATTCCGCTATAGCACTTCCTTTAATTGCCGTCTGGTTTACATACTGGATGTCAAACTCGGACAATAAGATCTGCCAACGAGCTAATCTTCCAGATAATGCCACACCATTAGATATTTCAAGGATCAAGCTTGGATATAAGCCAAGTAGTATGATACAACATATATTGCCTAAGCCTTCGGGTAGCCCATACTAAGCGCAACACAACTTTTCAATGGGTGAGTATCTTGTCTCACATTCAGTGAACTTCTTGCTGAGATAATAGATAGCCCTTTCTTTCTTTTCAGTTTGGTCACGTTGCCCCAGCACGCATCCCATTGAATTTTCATAAACTGACAAATAAAGAATCAAGGGTTTGCCTGAGATAGGTGACGCTAAGATTGGAGTGCTCGACAAATATCTTTTCACTGCTTCAAAATCTCTTTGACAATCTTCACTCCATTCCCCTGAGTTATTCTTGCGAAGAAGGCGAAATATGGGATCACACTTTTCTGTCAGCTGTGAAAAAACCGAGCTATATTAATCTTCCCAAAATCCTCTGACTTCTTTTTTGTGTTCGTGGGGTGGCCTCTTGAATGCTTTTACTTTATCTGGGTCTATTTCAATTCCTTTTCGGCTTACTACGAAACCCAACAACTTTCCAGTCACCCCAAAGTACATTTATTTGG